AAAAAAAAAAAAAAAAACCTATCTAAGGGTAAAATGAAAAATTGCAGTACAGCTAAGAGGACCCAGTATCCAGACATAGAAAAAAATAAATAGAACACCCAGAATAGCAGTTTTCAGTGAAATAAAACTGCTAAAGAAACAGAAAATACCTCAATTTAAAAACAAAAGTCATGACCTAAGAGATTGAATTATCATATGAAAAATGCTTTCTGGAACTAAAAATGGATTGTGTTTAATATATATATATATATTTAGTATATAGTAGTTGAAGGGTTGGATGTTGAGTAACACATGAGTAAGCAGCTTGAATATTCTGGTGCAAGAAATATCTCAGAAGAGCAAAAACACCCTAAAGAAAATGGAGAGAGACTTAGAGGACACATCCGGGGAACTTCACATGCAAATATCAGGAGTCCTAGAAGGAGGTCTGGAAAGAGAACAAATAGAGGAGAAACAATAATTGAATGAATAATAGGAAACAATTCCCTTGAGCAGAAGAAAGACATGTAGACAGAAAGGTTTACCAGATTTGAGGCTGAATTTATGTGGCTGAAAAAGACATCTGGGAGAACCTCAGAATTTCAAGGATAAAAAAATCTTCCAAGCCTTCAGGCAGAATATATGTTACTTACAAAGGAAAAACTTTGCAGTCTTTTATCTTCAATGCCAGAAACTAGAAAGCAGTGGAGTAACATCTGTACCTTACTGATAGAAAGGGACTCAGCCAAGATAGTTTATTGACAAGATGAAGGGAAGATATGTGGATATGCTACCACACTTGAAAAGAGTCTTGTAGCAAGGGCTCTTAACCAAGCAGCAAATGTGTCAGAACAGAGACTTTTCAAGATAGGAGCAGAAATAAAGAGGAGAGGAAATAATGGCTAGCAAATAACCTGTAGTATATTTAATATATGGTCAAATATAAATGGATCATATAGAATAACTGGGAATATGAAATAACAGGTACCAAATAAGAACTCTCTATATTGAAGAGATAGGATAAGATAAAAGTTTAATAATAGTCTCTAGCCAAAAGCACTACACTGTCTTCAAAACCTAGAATTTGGGGAAGAGGGAAATGCGGAAGTCATTGAATTCCCTTTTT